GGTTAACAAAGGGAAAGAATTGATTAAACTCGTGAGAATGGCCATGCCCAAACTCAACTATGTGACCCTTTAAGAAGAGTCTTTGCATGTAAACTAAGGGGAGAGAAGTTTCTTCAATGCATAATATGAAATCAAAAGCCCATACAAGGTGGCCATATGTATGCTCCTAGAAAATGGGACTAGCATGGCACTAGTATTCTAAATGACCAATTGAAATAATCGATCGAATAGTTGTCGCTGTAGAAAAGCCCAAGACCAAATTATGAAATGTGTGCAAGTGTGCATTTGTAAGTGGATACCTGCTCATTGATGATGAACTCAAGAGGAGGCCATGTTCTATAATTGGATGACATATTCATAATTAAGCAACAATTAAAATATACAAAAAAATAAACCCTAAGTTATTACAATCATATGGGGATGGGGGTACAAGTTTATGAATGAGGATGAAATCGATTAAAACCTAATTACTATTACAACCATATTGAACGAATAAATAATATACAAGAATGTAAAGTTAAATAAAATAAAATAAAGAAAAATTGTTTTTAAAAAATTTATGTATTGACACATGCACTTATGCATTGATACAAAAACTCTTATGTGTTGACGCATACACTTATGTATCAATACATATCATTCCTTGCTCCTGGAAGTCAAAAACAACACAGTATGAGTCAACACATAAGGGTTTGTATCGACTCATTTCTGTTTTGTATCTACACATGCGCGTTTTGTGTCGATTCGTACTTATTTCCTGCCCCTGGAAGTCAAAACCAACTCAGTATGAGTCGACACCTAATGGTTTGAATCGACTCATATCTGTTTTGCATCGACACATGCTTGTTTCGTATTGACTCATAACCTATTTTGTGCCTGATATGCGTCGACTCATAGAGATATATGTCAACTCATACTCCTGTTTTTTTATTTCTAACATTGTTCTGCTACATGTAAAAGTCAGTTCTCAACATATGATTGATAAAAATGAAAAGCAAGCATATGGTTAGCTTCAAGGGTATGATATCTACATTGTATCTTCACAAATAAACCACTAATGATACTTGTATGAATAGCTCAAGGTCAAGAAAACTTACCTTGAAATTGAAATTTGTGTTTTAAGTTTGAACACCTTTCAAGAGGTTGTGATGATCAGAATGGCTTCAGTGAACCTCCAGGAAGTTACTCCAATCCTTTATTTATATTGAAAGTTATTGAATCACTCCAACCCAGTCAAGTTGTACAATATTGTTTTTTTTTGTGTGTTTGGAAGGTGGTGAGAATGGTATCACAGAAACTATTTTTTGAACAACTTGTATGTGAAGTGTTTGGATAGTTTGTTTATGGGGGAAACTTGAAAGGTTGTACAGTGGGTTGAATGTTTTTTCTGTTTCTGTTTTCCTTTTGGTTTCTGCTGGTTTTTTTTGTTATAGCTGTGGTTTTATATATCAAAGCATTTTTATGGCTCAAAACAGTTTCATGGTTGTTATTGTTTTTTCTCTTCTGGTTTTATCGTGTTTTTTCTTTTTCTTGCTATTGTATATATCATATGAGAGGTGGAAATTGGGGGGGGGGGGGGGGGGGGGGGGTTGGTGAGGTTTTAAACAATTTTGACATGTTTTTCACTACTTTTTTCATTACAAATTTGGTGATTTCTATTTTATGTAATGTTTGGCATTTGTTTGCAGCAGTTTTGACAGTTTTAGCAGGCTATCTCTGCAGGTTTTTGGACTATTATTCATGGATTGTTTTTGTGTAGGAATAACAGGTTTTAGACTGATATGCTTGGACTGTTTTTGTGTAAGTTTTGGAGTGGAGTGGGCAAGTTTATGGACTGGTATGCAGCATAATGGACAACAGCAGTTTTGGACAATTTTGTAGGGATGGTTGGTGCAAACTTTAGGCTTTATAGGCAGTAAATTGGACAGTATTATTATGCAGGTTTTTTTGGCATGTTATATTTGGACTGATTTTGGGTCTGTTATATTTGGACAGTTTGGACTTGTGCTGAGAAATTCCTTTGTATGGTTTCAAATGGACATGGCATGAACCATAAAATAATTGCAAGATAAACAATAGTGACTTGAATCTTGAATATAGTAACTTGTAATGTAAGGAACGGGTGACTTGTGAACCAAAGTCATTGTATGAAATACCAATTTCCATTATTTCCAATTTGTAATCCAAATCCAAGTTTTCTTTCTCTTCCAATTTCGAATCTTCATGACAAATTAAAACCACTTTGAAAATGATAGATGCCATCTTAGTTCAAAATTTAGTCCCTCAAGAAAACTCCTCAAAGAAAACTATAACCGATATGAGAAGAATTCCTTGGTTTCACCCCTTAAACCTCTTGATAAGAAATTGGCTTGTAGTAGGAGATAAAGATCAATGTGACCTTGAAACAAAAATCCTAGCTTCCTTAACATTCAAATTATGAACACTACAAGCTCAAACCAAAAACCCTAATACACTAAGCCTCAGCTTGAAGAACTAAAACCACTGCTCTTGAAGTAACTTGAGAAAACCTCCAAAATCCTAATTCACCACTTCAGTTCTTGAAAATCTAGAAGAACCAGAAAGAAATAGACTTTACTGAATATAAATACCTCAAAACACCGTGAAACTCTAATATTGCACAACCATTGAACTCTTAGACCTCAGGTGTCTTTATTTAATGAAATGCATGATATGCAAAGGAACTAGTGAAGATGATATAGATGAAATGTGAAGTCTAATCCAGACAAAAGTAAAAGGTAGGATAAATTTGGGGTATTACCAGTATGAGGGTAGACGTAGGGATACCCTATACAGGTTTAATGGTAGATATGGAAATGATGATGTCCTACACTGACTCAGAGATTGAGATAGGCAATAACTCCTTAAGGATATAGATAATGTTAGACATGGATATAATGATATCCTACATTGTCTCAGAGATTGAGACAAACAGGAATTTCTTTAGGATTATGGCCTAATGAAAGACGACGAGAAATCCCTACAAGCTAGGGATTATGACATAGATGGAAGCCCTACGAGATAAAGATAATAATGGAAGAAAAGATAACCCTTTCGGGTTTAGGGATTGTAGTAGGATTTGTGAGAGGTATCCTTAGTTGGTAGGTTTTTAGTATTGGCCTGCGAATATTCTACCCTCCCCATAAGGTGGTTTCCTTAAGGGTATCATAAATAACAGTAGAGGGAAAGGCACAAGGGCTTCCCTTAAGTGGAGCCTCTTTGTAGACAGAAACTTTTGTCTCTAGGTCATGAAAGGTCTCATCATGAGATTTTGGTTTGAAGGTTGTACAAAGAGTCATAGGTGTCATTCCAAAGTCCTACTTCCTAAGAGGATGTCTCTTGAGACCTATTTCTTTCCCAGAATTCCACCGACTCTATGCAAAGTCATCACATAAACTCATAGGGCTGATGTATCCCCTTGGCTAATAGACGAACCTTCTTTCTAAGGGTTTTTGAAAATATTTTTTGCAAAATTTAAATCCCACCACATATATAACATTATGATAAAAATAACAATAGATAAATAAATGAATAAATAAATAGTTAAATAAACAAATATAAAAAACCCAAAAAATAAGAAAAATCCTAAAACCAAAAGACAAGGCTTCTAAACCTAGGGTTGAGTCCTCAATAGAGTCGCCAACTATGGTAACTGGTTTTAAATTCAGAGTCGTCACCCTTAATTTGTATCCTAAAGAAGGGAATATAAAGGATAATCCTAAAAATTTAGAGATTCTAGGTTTTCTGGACTCGGTCTTAGATGAAGGGAAGGTGTTAGGCACCCCTCATCTACCTTGCTCACAAAGATACTAGGGTTAGAAGCGCAATTTTGAGGAAATAGGATTTTAATGTTGTATTAGGTGAACTCGCCATAATTTTAGTCGTATGTCTACACATTCTCTTAGGAGGAATTAGATTCGCAATTCCTAGTTTACGGTTTTGTTGGTGTTTTTTATAGGATTGTGTAGAATTGATTTCGAACTTATCATTAAACCTAGTCCGAGTTGAAAGTTGTGTGAGCGTTGACGTAGTTCGTAGTTAATTTTGAAAGTAATTCTATTTAATCCTTTTTATGAAAATATCTTGGGTTTTTGTTATGTTAGTATAAAAATGTTTTGATGTTGGTTAGCTATATTAAAACGTAAAGCGGGGGAGTCTGATATAGTCTCCTCATCACGTGGCCAGATATTGGCCACATGTCATTCGCAGATGTGGAATTTAGTGATTTTGTATGGATTTTAATTGTTTGATTTGGAATAATAAACTGATAGACGGTGTGTCGACCGATTTAATTACTCGAAGATGGACATCCTATTATTTATTAGATGTTTGAATTAATTATATTAAAAAAAAGTGATTGGTTTATTCTAAAAAAAAAATTCAAAGCATATATTTTTTATATGTTTATTTAATAAAAGCTAATTAACCTAAATAAATTATTACCTTAATTAACTAATGAAATAATGTAACTAAATTAAAACTAAACTAAATAAATAAATAGGCTTGGGGGTGCATAAGTAAAACAGAGTGTGAAATTGATTAAGCCAAATGCTAAAAGTCCATATCATTAACCCAACAAACATAATGACCATAATCATAAAATAAATACAAAAGAAAAATGCTTAAATCGTAAAACTTGGGCAGCATTTATCATCATAATAGATAGTATTTTTTTACTTTTATCCTTTGTTATACCGGCCAATGATGTTTTGACACATGTCACATCTTTAATAATAATTAAAACAAAATAAAGGGGTCAGATCTAAATTGAATATGTTAGTGTAGAAAACAACACAACTTCTTCCCCTTCTCACTTCATCGTTATCACTCATCCTCTTCTTTCTTTTACAAAGACAACAAACAAAATCCTCTTCTTCTTCTATACAAACGCAAGAGAATAGATCCCAAAACATACCCAAACATCACTCCTCTATTTCTCAATTTAAACCAGACAAGGCAGTAAAACAACAAGAACGAAATACATGGCCGGATGGAAAAAACCCGCTTGGCCTGGGGATGAGGATCGTTGTGGGAAGGCGGTCTGTGGGGGAGCTGGTTTGTCGGAGGAGGCGGTGGATTTTTTGGTGTTAAAGATTACTGCGATTTGGTGGTCAAGTGACCCATGTGGCGGCCTAGTTCTGACTGCGATGAGGTTTCAACGGAGGCTGAAGCGGTTTTGAAGCGTGTGGGTGGCGGATAATCAATGAAGCGAGTGAGCTACGACTTGTTTCTGATTCTTCCTCTTCTTCAATTTTTTTCTGAACCTGATTCTTCTTCTTTGTTTTTCCTGAACCAAACAACATGTTGTATTGATGTTTATCAGATATGAATTTGCTTCGGATTTTTTTGTTCTTTTTTCATGCAATTTTTGATCTGGTTTGTATTATGACAGGATATGTGTTGGTGTATAGTAGTGTTATGACTTATGCAACAAATCTTGAATATTTGGAGAAAGTGATTTAGTTTGAAAGTTTTAGATTGAATTTGGAATGATAGTTATTTCAGTAATGAGCAATGATTGACTGAGTTTGTGACAGTGGGTTTAATGAATGAAACTTAGACAAATTAGTTTTAAAATTTGTGATGAAAGTTTGAATAGTGAAATATTTTTACAGATTAAGTTTATTGTAAAAAAATTGTTATTATGTGAATAGTTATTGAAAAAAATTTGATAAAAGGTTAGCGTGCAAACATTGCAGGTTAAAATTATTACGGGTTAATTGACAATTTGTTGTTTGAATATATGAAAAAAGTTGAAGATTAATGTGACTATAAAAAAACCGTGTAGAAAAATTGGTGTGTAATAGTTAGTGTACAAATAAAAACCATCAGCTCCACATTATAAGGTAAAAACAATAAATTTAAAGGATGATATTGAAAATAAAAAAGGTGGCCTCATAGGTCAATCATTGGCTAAAACTAAGAAATTTGAAAAGGTTTTGAAAAAATGAAATTGTAAAAAGCAGTGATGAAAATGAGTAGGTGAGTGAAAAATTCTAACATTGTTGATTTGTTGATGAATTTTGGATTTGTGGATTTGTGAGAAATTGTGGATCAATTGTGTGTGAAACTCTTGATGAATTGTGTGTGAAATTCTTAATGAATTGTGTGTCAAACTAGGACAAACTAAGGTCCTATTTATAGACTTGAATTAGGTGAAAATTACTTAACAAGTAAGTTAGCCCAAAAACCAAGAGAAGCCCAAAGCCTGATTTCCAAAAAAGGAAAGAAAATTAGTGAAAAAAAGAAATATAAAATGTTAAAGGTTACCACAAGAGATTGCAAGCTTCATTCTTTACTAATTGTGCAATTTTACTCATTTATAAATAAACCCAATTGAAAATATATGAAAGGTGTGAAAATATTTGTTATTTTAAAAATACAAATAATTTGAAATAAATTATTATATTTTTAACTGGACTTGAGAACGAATATTTATAAAACCCCAAAATATTAACGTGAATCAAAAGAATTTTATAAAAATCCAAGTTTGAAAATAAACTTGACGGTAGAATTAAGGCGGGAAAATTTGGGGTATGACACATGCGAACAAATCGACATTTTCCTTCAACAGCTTCACAATTTCTACCTCCCCCTCATGGGACAGACTACCCCCTATATAAGTTATTTCAGAGGGAATGGTGATGATCTAAACTTTATTTGTTTCATCATAAGGAGAAAGGTTGTCTTCTGGTGAATCATCATGTGGACCTATATCGACCATGTTGACTTTCAGCTCATTGGAGTACCCAAGCACTTCGGACTTTACGTTCTTCTTTAACTTCAGGCTGTCTTTATAAAATTTCCTTGCCAACCCTTGATCATATTTAACCACCTAACCCCGGCCATCCCCCAAGGGGTACTTCATAGTGAGGTACAACGTAGAGAGAGAAGCCTCTAAGGCATTAAAGGAAGGCCTCCCTACGATGATGTTATAGGGTGAAGTAGCATTGACAATTAAGTATCTTACTCTGACCTTTTAGCATTCGTGACACTTCCAAAGGTAACCAGTACCGAGAGATGTCCCAACACTTGCACATGTTCTCCTGAGAATCTGACTAAAGTGTCGTTCAAGGGTAATAGCTCGATTGTGTCGAACTCCTTTTCCTTGAAGTACATCACCTCGTGGGCCATGATTTTGAAGGCGTCCCTTTTAGAGAGGCTAATAGGATTTAGATTCTGCTCTCGGACCTTAGCTATATCTCCGAACACATGCATCATGACCCAGGTGTATTTCTTCCTAGCCGATCTGGTTTTTTTGTGGCCAGCAAATCCACCAGCGATGATGTTAAGGGTATGACGAGCCGATTTGGTTTTATGCACCTCCTCTGTACCCTTCCCCTTCTTTTGGAAGGGTCCTTCCGAGTCTGTGTCTTCTCGTCGGGTATCTCTTTTCACAACTAGGGTTTTTCCATCTTTTACATAAGTTAGCAGGTGTCCCATCTGTATCAATGCCTTGATTTCTTTCTTTAGCTGGAGGAAATCATCAGTATGTTATCCCCAGAGCCTGGGGTTACTACACCAAGCCCCAACTTCCCTTCCCACACAATATTGACTCTCTTCGGATGGGATGCTTCTAGTATGAGGTTCAGATGTGCAACACCTTGCAAAATTTTGCTTCTCCTGGTGTTCAGAGGCGTCTCCACGTTGTTTGGATCAAAGGGACGTCGATTCGGCCTTTAAGTTATGCACTCCCAAAATCTGTCTCTCGGAGCAATTCGAGAAGTCCTTTACTTCCTTCCTGACCCTCTTCTTTGGTATTACTTTTCTCTGTGGCATCCCTGGGTCATTTCTCTAGGTTACTCTTATAAAAAAAAGAAGTGTTTCCTACATCTGGCCTTGAGATTTTGATGATAACTTCATATGTTATCTTAGAGAACAATTGTATAAACTAATAGTTTCATCTAGTGTGTACTGCTGCTATAATGTTCTGACTCTGGTACAAGGCGTGTGACTTCATCAGGTTCTAAACATACACTCAGGAAGAAAACATGTGGTTACATGTTTCGGTTAAGTTAAGGTTCTGAACTGATCTTCTGCAATGTGTCTTAAGAATTTTAGTACAAGAAGTTCTAATCATGGCTTTATGGTTTAGCTTTGGAGGCCTTCTAAAGCTTTACCTTTGTGTTACAATTTCTGAAGATTATGAAGAACAAGGTTCTGCTGAACAAGTTCTGATGATCTGAAGAAAAGGAATTTCTTACAACCAAGTGTTGAAGAATCTGAAGAACGAGGTTCTATGTGACAAGTTCTGAAGACTCCAAGACATGGATTTTAATTCTCATAAGAAATATTCTTCTATAACAAGCTTCATTGTTCAAAATTCAAATATCTAAAGCCTCTAGAGATAAGAAGAAAGTTCAAATGGTTAATGTGTGATGTTGTGCAAAAGGTACATTGAGCGTATGTGACCTATACCCTTTAGGGTGGTTTAAAGACAATCCTTTATAGTGTATTAACAACCACTCTCATTGTGACTGTTGGGAACAAACAGTTGTATTTACATTTATCTTTCTTTACTTAACGAATCTATGTTTAGAAGCTTAATAAAAAAATATTATTCAGAGAAAAAGGTGGAAAGTTATCATTGAACAATGATAGGATACATAAATATTATTTTATACTTGTAAGTGTTTGTTGGCAGCAATTTTGTTAAAATGATGACTTGATAATGCTTTTCTTAATGTCTTGACATTTGAAGCAAACTGTTTTGAATGATGTCAAAGAAGATGTCTTGACATCTGCCTCCTGAGCTGAACGAAACTTCATATCTGGTTTAAGTTTTGTGTTTCCTGTTTTTATGAGCACCATCATTCAGGATTTGGGACTCATATCTTGCAAAAATATGGAGGAATGTTTTTTGATATGCTTTATCTTTATGAATTATATCTTGGCCTGTTTTCATCGAAATATTCAAAATATTAGAATATTTGTTTTTCAGCCCAAGCCCACTGTTGCGCCTTTATAAGGACCTGCATCCTTATTCATTGTAATGCAACTTTTGAAGAAGAACATATTCTTTCTATTTTATAAGGCTAAGCCTTTTTAATTGTAATACACTTTAAGTATTGGTTTAATACTTGAGTTGTAATTGGAATTGTTAATTGTGCATCATTCATAAGCTTTTAAGTATTGAATGATTGAAGTCTTTAAAACTTAATAATTATGTTGTTCTTCATTGTTAGTGATTTAAGGGACTTGAAGAGGGCCTCAAACCTAGGTGTGTCTTAGGTAGAAGTATATAACGGGTAGTTATTAAGTGATTAGATCGTAAATTGGTTGTTTACTGAGGGTCTACAAATTGATACTATTTAGGGGACTTGTCCCTGGCTTGGTAGTCCCCAGAGTAGGTGTTGTTGTACACTGAACTGGGTTAACAATCGTTTGTGTTTTTACTACTTTTATTATTGTTTCACTTTACATTTTCCTCATATATTTGTGTCGTGACATATCCTTCAACATCACATATCTGATACCAGAATTTTCAATTGGTATCAGAGCAGGCATCCTGCTCTATATCTGGGTGAGATCCAGGGAAGATACTTTCGGGTACTATGGACAGGGAGGGAGGATTTGTGAACATACTACCCGTTATAGATGGAAGTAATTATGACTATTGGAAACCACGTATGGTGGCCTTTTTAAAGTCTATATACAACAAAGCTTGGAAAGTTATCTTAAAAGGATGGAAACACCCTGTCAAATTGGGAGAAAATGGAGAACCTACTTCTGAGTTAAAACCAGAAGAAGATTGGTCTAAAGAAGAATATGAAATTTCTCTTGGAAATTCTAAATCCTTGAATTCTATATTCAATGGAATTGACAAGAATATTTTCAGATTAGTGAACATATGTGATGTAGCTAAAGATGCATGGGGAATTCTCAAATCTACCCATGAAGGCACATCCAAAGTTAAGATGTGAAGACTTCAGTTGCTCACCACAAAATTTGTGAATTTGAGAATGAAGGACGATGAAAGTATTAATGACTTCTATATGAACATTCTTGAGATTGCTAATGCATCTAGTGCTTTAGGAGAGAAAATACCTGAAGACAAATTGGTGAGAAAGATGCTCAGGTCTCTTCCCAAGAGATTTGATATGAAAGTGACTGCTATAGAAGAAGCTTAAGACATTCACAAAATTAAAATGGATGAACTTGTTGGATCCCTTTTGACATTTGAATTAAGCATTAATGAAAGATCTTAAAAGAAGAACAAAAGCATAGCCTTTGTATCAAATGCTGAAGATGAAGAGGAGGACTGTGATCTGGATAGAGGAATAGAAAATGCCCTTAGTTATGCTTGGAAGACAGTTTAACAAAGTGATAAAAAGAATGGATAGGAATCCAAGATCAAATGTCAAGGACATCTCATCTGACATCCATAAGTCAAATGAGTTTGGAAGAAAAA